TTACAATACATTTTCAAACAATGAAAAGTTGGAACAATTAAACTTCAAAAATACCAGTGAAATACGGAAGCAAGTAAGCAAAATATGAAAGCAAGTAAGCAAAATACGGAAGCAAGTAAGCAAAATACGCAAGCAAGTAAGCAAAATACGCAAGCAAGTAAGCAAAATACGCAAGCAAGTAAGCAAAATACGCAAGCAAGTAAGCAAAATACGCAAGCAAGTAAGCAAAATACGCAAGCAAGTAAGCAAAATACGCAAGCAAGTAAGCAAAATACGCAAGCAAGTAAGCAAAATACGCAAGCAAGTAAGCAAAATACGCAAGCAAGTAAGCAAAATACGCAAGCAAGTAAGCAAAATACGCAAGCAAGTAAGCAAAATACGCAAGCAAGTAAGCAAAATACGCAAGCAGACAATTTGTCAACAGTGGGAAAGTATATTGTACCTAAAAAGTTTGAGCTTGAAGTTGAAAATTTAATAACCACAAATCAATTTTGGTGCCAAAATCATATAAAAAACAAGCCAGTATTTTCTACAAATTGTCAAATGATGTGATTTAACTTGTTGCCCACCAACTAGAAGCTTATACTTTGATAATATTGCTGATAGATTAATCCCCCCACCAATTCTAGTCAGCCAAACTAATGTGAGCTTTAAAGCACCAGGATATCTAGTATAAATTCACATAGATTTTTATATCTTTTTTTTAATCAGTCTGTGAAAATTAGCAAAACTATTCAAAGTTCTTTCATATGATATAAATTGTCCATCCATTTAATTGTCATTGTATAATTAGATCTTAAAATCTATTACCTTTATGTTGCTTCGCAAACCATCTTAAAGAAGCACATTTAAAAACACAAAAAATGTATGCTTAGGCCCAGTCCAATGTATTACATGCACCCAAATAATATTGCATGCACCCAAACAATATTACATGCACCCAAACAGCAAAAAGTTGTCAATCTAAGTGGCTGCTAAAAGCTCATGGCAATTATTCCTCAAGGGGATTGTTTTAATTAATTGCTAATTTTGCAACGGATTTGATATAAGGTTTCCAAGAAAGATCAGAAGTAAGAGTTAATCCTAGAAGATGAAAGTACATTACCGTTCATAAATATAGGAAGATCTAAATTATTGCGATAGCGATTGGCTGAAAAAAATTGAGTTTTATCTGAATTAAAGTTCACCAGCCACTGTGAGCCACATGCTGTAGCAATAGTGAGATCCTTTAACGCTCATGCCCCCTGCAAGCAATCAGAGGGAGTTGGCTTCTTATCGTGACAAGAATAAATGGTAGTATCATCAGCGAACAATGCCACCTTAGATGTGAGAATATCTGGAAGATCGTTAATGTAAATTAAAAAGAGTATAGGGCAAAGGATTGAACCTTGGGGAACCCCTGAGGTTACAGAATAAGAAGAAGAGTGCTGTCTATCGAGGACAACTTTTATACTACGATTGGAAAGGAAGGATTCAATAATCTTAAAGATGTTTCCAGATACACCGTAAGAAGAAAGCTTATGGAGAAGAATAGCATGCCAAACTTTATCAAACGCTTTAGAAATGTCAAGAGCGATGGCCTTAACCTCTCCACCTTTATCTAATGCGCGATAAAACCTATCGGTTATTACTGATAGCAAATCATCCGTACAACGAGAAGATCAAAATCCATATTGATGATCAGAAAGTAGGTTATGAGATTCGAGATGAGAGATTAAGTGTTTGTTAATTAAAGATTCAAAAAGCTTGCTTATGATAGGAAGAAGACTAATGGGACGGTAGTTAGACGAATTAGGTTGCTCTCCAGAATTTTTAAAAATAGGGATAACAGATGCTGCTTTCCACCAGGCTGGAAAACAAGACTCTGATAAGCACTTGTTGAATAGTTTTGAAAGGATAGACGACAGCTCCGGAGGACAATTCTGCAAGACTATAACAGGTATGTTATCCGGGCCGCAAGCTGTAGAAGAGTCTAAGCAGGAAATCACTTTAGATACAGAAGCTGGAGTGATACGAATGTCGAGCATTGGATTAACCTGTTTGACGGCTATATCAGGTAGAACGCAACTAGTGGAATCCAGAAATGATATTGATGAAAAGTTCTTGGCAAACAATTCAGCTTTGTCTTTAGGTGAGGTGACAAAGTCTGAACCGTACAAAAGAGGTGGAATTACAGACTTGCCCTTATTATTGATACTATTAAAGATTCTCCAGAAGTAACGAGAGCCTAATTTTTGTGATGAAATACGAGATTTCATGATCTGAGAATAGCGGGTTTTGGCGTTAGACAAAACCTTTTTACAATGGTTCCTTTGGTTTACAATGGTACCTTCAACTTTTATTCACATTTTATTTAGAATATTAGTAATTTTAAATGGTTATTCATTTAGAACAAGCATTTGTAATTTTAAATGGTTATATTCATTTAAAATATGTTCTTAAGTTAAAAATTGGATAGTTTTTTTTTCTAAATATTTTACTTTTAATCATTTAAAATATTGTTATTTTTTTCCATTTTAATTTGATTTTTAAGAAAGACGAATGAGGGGGGAATTATTGAAAATTGACGTAATTTTTAATAGAGTGGGTGGGGGAGGGGTTTCTAGAAGTTTGACAAGTTGTTGACAAGTGGGAGGGGGAGGTGAAAATTGTCAAAAAGTTGTCGACATACTTAATGGACACTCCCAATAAATAATTAAAAAAAAAAAAGTTGCTTAAAACGTTTTTTAATACTTGCTTAAAACGTAATCACCAGTCTGAAAATCTATTTATTTAAGCTTAAAAATAAGATTTAGTTTGTGAAACCGTTGGTGCCATCCATTTCATTATCGGTTTAGTCACGACTTAAGTTGCAACCCTTTTTCACTAGATAAACACAAACAAACTTTATTGACTACTTTTTTAACAATTTTTTTGGGTCAAAATTGCGGTCAGTTTTAGAGCTGTTTGTATAAATAAAAATCAGTTAAGTTAGGCGAGAGAAATTCAGCTCATGTACCTATGGAAAAAAGAACATCTCACACTATTGGGGCATTTTTAAGGTAAATTTTAAAATCAAAAACGGATGTAAAAAAAAAAATTATTTCGGTTACTATAACTAATCTAAATGATCTAATAGCTTCCCATTTTTCTTGATGCTTATTAAAAGATCAACAATGTTCCGTAATTTTCAAAATGAACATCATATTCAACTTATAATCAACACCCTCTTATGAAAAAAAAAAATAAAGAAAAAAAACACAACAATATTAATCCTTTATCGATTGCTAATTAACTTATGCAAACATTGTGTAAATTATGCAAATACACTTTAATCTTTTTATCAACGTAAATTGTTCTTTATATGCGAAACCACTTTTGAGGAACTGTTTATATAAGGCGGAATGGCCAGGTTAGCCGGGCTGACTGAAGAAATAATAGCACAAAATAATAACTGTTTACATTGGAATTTTAAATTACGCATATTTATTTTTATTTAATTGGCTTTTTTAAAAACAATGGAATGTTTTTGATTGGATAAAATAATTTTTTATCCAACATTTATAAGCAGGGCTTGGTATAAGTAAACACGTGTAAACACTTGTTGTGTTTACACGAAAAAAATGTGTCCCAATTGGAAGGCATCCCACTGAAATTAGGCAAGATCTCTGTAATTCGTGCTAGTCCGTTTGTCATGTAAACAAGTTTAATTTTTATAAGTAAATATTAAATATGGCAAGATATTGTTTAAGTGAGCCAGCTCGACTAACAGGGCTTGACCACCTCATACAAACAACCCCTGAGAGAAATGAAAGCCTTAAATGTATACGCACTAAATGTTTAAAATATTTTATGTTTATATTAAAATTTCAAAATCATTCATCTCCAGATGTATTTATAAATCTTTATAATGTGAAACTCATAAACAAATAAAATGTTTGTAATGGAAAAAATCTGTAATATTTATATGTTGCCAAACTAAATTTGAGCAGCTTTTTTTATCTTATTCTGGTCCTTTTTAATGAAACAAAATAGTTTTCCCTATTTTTGATTTGCCTTTGAAATGGACCTTTCTTTCCTTCAAGCTTCTTTCCTTCTTTCTATAAGAAGAAATCTTTTCAACAGAAAAATTCCTTTTTTTTTATTTTTAGTTCTTTTAAAAGAACTAGAAATAAAAAAAATGCATTTTCTGTTGAAAAGATAACAAAATTTTGTTTCTAATAAAATAGATTTTAAATGGACATTTATATTATTATTTTTTTAATATTTATAAATAAATATTTTTTAAAGACTTATTTTTGTCTTGATTATCTTTTATAACGTTAATATTGTAAAGAGCTTCATGATAAGATCATACAATCCTCTGGAAGTCCTTCAGATTATATTTGTAATGTAATTTACTCGGGATTATTTATTTGTTGCAAATACGAACATTAAATAAAAAAAAATTCATAATTTGGAAACGACTACTAATCATTTCCTTTTTTCAATAATTATGTTTTTAAATCTCTCTACCCTAAACCCTGGAAGAATAAACCTTGTTAAACAAGACCGTAACGTGGAGAAACAGGGCAAGTGCGGTTCTTTCGGAAGCATAGGGTAAATTCGAACCTCAAACCTTTGGATTGCAAGCCAAATATTTTAACAATAGTCTTCTGCCGCATAGACATGTGAAAGAACACATAATATATGTCAATTATCATTATATTATAATCAATTATTATTTTATTATAATGATAATTGACTTCTTGTAAAAACTGTAAAGTATGTTCACATTTTACATCAAAGTTTGATTGTTATAAAAGTTTTCATACAAAAAAGAAATAAAAGACAAAAAATTCAAAACTTAAAAAGTTTAAAATTTTTACTTATTATATATTACCAGACCCTATAAAGCCCCAAATATCAGGGTAATCTTTACAACTTTTTAGAACTTGATAAATAGATTAGTATAGTTTTCATAAAATAATTTTATGTTTAAATTTTAATAATGTAGTTAAATTAGAATTCGAATTGTTTAGGAAACTCTTTCAGATGTCAACGTCAGCTTTAAATCATCTGAAAGCAGTTCCAGAAGCTCTCAAAGCTCCCTAAAAGAAACTTCAAGAAGTAGCAGGTATTTTTTTTATGTTTGATTTAAGAGCTAACTTTTTAAACGCTAAATTTCGAAGGCCAAATTTAATTATATATTTATTATAAATATTTATTTTAGTACTGTCTCGTTAGCAACAGAGATTTTAAACCATTTCAGTACATCATACTCAAATTCGACAAAAACGATTTTAAAAAACAACTCAACTTTGATTGAAAATGATGATTCCATTAATTGCACGCTGGATGCAAAAAGAAAAGATTGTGATGATATAAAAAAACAAAGAAACCACCCAAATTTAACACTGCAGCGTTCGATGTCGTTTGATTATACTCCTATGAATATGAATGGAAGACAAATGATTGGTCAAAAGATAATAGATTCTTCTAACATATCAACAAGCGATGAATATGATTCGGACAGAACTGACTGTACTCCAATGAGCATTAAAGCATGCTCTAACGATAAATATTTCAAAACGCCAAAATCAACTTTGGCACAATCTTTTACCGAAAAAAGCGATTATAAATTCAAAAGAAAGCCATGTTATACCAAGATAAATAGAGAAAGTGGAAAAGTAAAAAAGAGAACTGCTTTTCAGAAAATTGATAATCCTATGAATGAATTTATTGCTGAAGATACCATCAATAACTATATAAAAGTAGTTTCGACATCACACTTGAACAAGCCTAATTTTATTGAAAACATGAAAGAGGATGTTACAGTTGAAATGACTAATAGTACAAACTACAATATGACTAATGAGTTTAAAACATTAAACGTAGGAGATGTTCAAATTTCATTTCCTTTTAACAGTCAACTCATATTTGTGGATAATAATAAAGTGACATTACGCACAGAGCAAGTTACGTGCAACATTATCAAAAATGAAATCAATTTTCATGTATAAAAATCAATATAAATTTAATCTGATTAACAAATAAAATAAATTCTAAAAGACTTTTTTTTCCCACCAAATATTGGTTTCCATTTCTACATGAAATGGAATACGGTGCTTAAGAAAAGATGTGTAATAATAATTTACTGCATAATTCACTATCCACGTGCTAATTAATGGATCATTTTAAACAAACATGTTTTAAAAAGAAAATTATTTGTGTAATTGTATTAAAATTAATTATGAAATTGTAGTAAATCATCAATGCACAAACCATTTAACTTTGTAAACATTTAAGATTTTAGTTTCAGGACATACAAACTTTAAGTGAGCTATCCCAGCAGGCACATTTTTATTGCAAATTTTTTTGATATTAAAACTTTTTTTCATGATATAAACTACGAACTTGTTACATGTCAGAAAATTGGATTAGTTGAAGCCTGGAAACAGAAGTTTAGCTTCGTTGGGGGAAGGGGGGCATGGGATTGAGTTGGTAGTGACAGGGGTCAGGGGTGGTCTAGAAATATATTTTTTCAAGAATCGCACTTATAATAAATATATTTTATTAATGCTTTTATGTGCTTTTTATCATAACTATTAGGTACGTCTAAAACACTAAACTAAAGTTTGAGTTTGCAAACTTTACTTAGATTAACAAAAAAAAAAAAAAAAAAAAAAAAAAGAAGAAGCATTTAATACTATTGCAATGGTTTGCTTATTTAATACATATTATTACTACATATTACTGAAAGCAAGTATTAAGAAGAAAATTTACTTTCCTGCTAGGTTATACAAACTTTTTTTTGCGAGATTTCAATTCCAGCGTTAGTTTGACGTAAAAGAACAATGTTATGACTTGTGACGACTATAAGGCGTTGTACAGACGTCTGTGCCCGCTGGGTTGGATCAAAATGATTTATTGATAATTTAAAGTCAATGCAATTTGCAAGCTCACATTCTTTTATAATTAATTTCAATCATTGTTTTTAACAGTTGATTGCATGATTACAAAGACATAGTTTTACTTGTTGACCACAGATAATTTTTGATAACTTTTAGTCTACTGAAGCTTCTCTAATCATAAGCATATGTAAAAGTATGAGTCAAGTCAATTTTGTAGAGTATAGACAAGTTAGGAAAACATGATGTTATCCATTTCTTAATTAAAAGTGGATGTACGTCTTTCATTTGTTGTTCAGTTGCTATTGCTGGAGAATTTGATGCATGCACATCTTTGAAAGAGGCAATTAGTTTTCAAGTAGGGAGGGGGTGCCATACGTATTTTTGCCAAAAACATTTTCAACAGATAAAATGAAACCTAAAATGCTCCACAATTTTGAAATAAGTTAATTTATAATTTTTTGTTTTTCTCCTTTTAAAAAAAAAGTTGTTCAAAACCGTTTACAAAGTCATTGTAGTTTTATGAACATCCCTCACTGTACAGTCACAGTAGTTTTGATACATGTTAAAACGAACTATGTTAAAAATCCATTGACTGTGTACATTATGACTGAAAAAAATATTTTCTTTAAACAAAATGTCTCCGTTTTGTTTTCTCCCATAAGTGCTAGGGCCGACGACATAGATTTCAAAACTTAAAGTCTTCTTTATATTAGAATTTTTTTAATAGGAGAGGACACGAGGAGGACACGTGCGTCCTGCCCCCTCTCCCCGGTGTGGTTGGCCCTGAATGCCTGCAAATTGTAAAGCAGCTATATAAAGGATAGTTTGTTGTTACCTACTTTTCTATTTTCGTTTAAAAAAAGAGAAACTTATATTTTAAGGGGCGAGAGTTGACTGGCTTAGGAAGCGCGGGGGGCATTTCATTCATTTTTCATAAATCAGTCGATTTATGAAAAATGAAAGATTAAGGTTCTGTTTGTATTATAATATGTACATATAATATATTTGTATTATAAACTACTATTATATTGATATTTCGTTTATTTTATGCTTTGTAACAAAAAAAAAATCAAGGGGGATTTTTTCTGGTGGGATTTTTTTCCCGGGGATTTTTCCCTGCTACCACATTTTTTGGAAACATCGTTATAGGCTGGACCAGTTTTTAGAATAGACCAATTTAATTCAAAGATAAAAACTTATTGTTCTTGATGCCAAATGAATTTTGATAGCATAGTTTTAAGTATTTTTTATATTTAAAAGATTGTTTGTGGTTGGCATAACAATGGGATTGTTAACGTTTGTATACGAACTTTGTAATATTGAAACCATACATCATAAAAACATTAAAATTTTACTTGATAAATAAAACTGTAGTAGCTTATACTTATACTAGCTTATACTAGCTTAAACAAATTTTTTGCAAGATAAAATCTCAAATTAACCAATAGTTTTAAATTAATCGAATTTTGTATAGTTATTCCGTTATCAATTATTCTATTATTAATAAAAACTTTGTTTCGTTCAAAGTTCATTGAAAAACAAAAGCATAGAAAATGCTTAAAAATTTGCTTAAAAAAGTTTTCCGTTATTTGAACATTTTGATGTTTTGCTGGAGATCTAAAAGTTGCCCTGAATTAGTAACTTTTGCAATTACGTAGATCAAATGTTATTATTCATAAAAATCTTTATTTATATTCATTATTTTTTTAATTAAAATTCTAATTCATTAAATCATTAAATTTAGAAAGTTTTATAATTTTCAAACAAAAAAATATTTATCGTGTAAAGTGACAAAACTCTAGTCATTGATTAAATTCCAGCCACATTTTAAAATTAATATTTCTCTAAGTTTCTGCATTATGCTGGTGAACACGACTAGTTAGTGGACTAGTTAGCGGTTGTTTACAATATAAGGACGATTCTCAAATTAGTGAAACCAGAGAGCTAATTTTTCAAACACACTTTTTTTACCATCTTTTTGCATATTTTTACTAAAAACTAACTAAATTTACATTTTAAAATAAATTTAGAAGTTTTTGTATAATGTATAAAAAAATATTGATATTTATTTCTACAGTTGATAAACCTTGAAATTTTTTAATTTTTTATGTCAGTGCATTATTTTTCATTTATCACATTAAATGTCTAATCTTGTGTTAACAATTTATCACAATAAATATCTAATGTCGTGTTAACTACATAAAAGTATTGTCATAACTATTTTTTATATAATTTGAACAAAAATTTTCTAACTTTGAAATAATATTTATATATTTATATTACAGTTTAGTAAATACTTTTTTTGAGTCACACACGTAACAAAAAACAATAAAAAAATTTATTTGTGAGCAAAATAGAATGTATTTTTTAAAAACATTTTCATTTATAAGCAAAAAGTAAAATTAAAAAAATAATAATTATATTGTTGTAATACATGTATACCTAAAAAAAAATAAAAAAAGTTCGGTCACACACGTAACGTAGTTTTATAGTTAAGGTTATATATGTGACATTTAACAGATAAAAATATTAAATCCAAAAAATCAGAAAATATATAGTTGATGGATTTGCTACAAAATCATAAACATTATATGATAAATAATATTTTGTGTATATAAAATCATAAACATTATATGATAAATAATATTTTGTGAATATAAAATCATAAACATTATATGATAAATAATATTTTGTGTATATAAATGCCTTTAACATGAATATATTTTGATTTAATTTACATTTTTAAATTTAATCTCAATTTTCTTTATTTAATTTAACAAAAAAACAACTACCTAGTGTTTTGAAAATTATTTTTAGTTTGAATTTGCTTGTAAAAATTTATTTAGATAATTCTATAAATAAACGATTTAAAGTCTTTATTAGGTAAGAGACATACAAAACAACATGGTTACCATCTTTCTTGTTATATCTTAAGTGTCTGAAAAGAGATTTGTAACTATTCTCGTCAGTTCTACACCTCTAACAATAACTTTTATAAAATAGGATTTGTTATTAATGTTAATTGTGATTTGTATTTTATTGCATGCTTTTATTACGCTATGGATATTTGGTACAATTTTTTTTTATTTGGTAGAAAAATTTGGTACAACTATGAACTTATCAAAGCTTATGACCAATAAAAATTTTTAAAAACTAATGAAAGTAATTGCAACAGCTGTTAATACCATAGCAGAACAAACATTGATACATGCTGCATATATATTGCGAAAAACATATTTGACACTAACAGATATTTGTATATCTTGCAATGGTACTAGTCACAAACAAGTGGTATTCGCTGAACAGAGTTTTTTCTTTTATCTTTGCTGTTAGTAGCTAGGTGTTAGATATTGAAATTATATCCAGATATATGTTAAAGTTGTTGTGGAACTCAAGGCCTCCAAAATTCTGATCCAACTGTTTATGCACAATAAAGAAATTCCAATGTTTGTAAGTATAATTACAAAGGTGATACAGTATTTTCAACATTCTATTGACAACCGCCAGTTACAATTTTTTCAATATTCAGTTGATGGAAAAAGTAAAAGTTACATGAATGTTAAAAATACATACTTGATATTGAAAATATCAAAAATCTGAAATGCGTCATTTCCAAAAGAGTGCGGCTGCAGAGTTTAAAGAAAATAGTAAAAAAATCTTGAATGTAGAGAAAGATATGCAGATGCAAAATTGATCGCTTACAAAAAATTTAGCTGGAGTTGCTATTAGGCAAAATGCAGGTAACCTAAAGGAAATGAGAGCAGAAAATTGATATAATTGATCTTAGAATGCAAAGTATTGAACAATAAAAGAATATTAAAAAAAAAGAATTTAGAATGATTACATGATTACGTGTTAACAAGTTGAAAAAAATAAATATATATATATATATATATATATATATATATATATATATATATATATATATATATATATATATATATATATATATATATATATATATATATATATATATATATATCTATATATATATCTATATATATATATATATATATATATATATATATATATATATATATATATATATATATATATATATATATATATATATATATATATATAGATATATATATATAGATATATATATATAGATATAGATATCTATATATATATATATATATATATATC